GGCAGGGTATACAATCTCCCCAATGCTATTTACCACGTGCTAACAGGAGTTTATCAGAGGGCTAGAATGGGAATAGTTAGGGAAAAGCGGTAAAGGAGAGTACCTTAGTAAGCTGCGCTTCGCCGATGACATTGCATTGCAGATAAACCCAGGGAACGAATTTCAACTCATGATTACGGAGTTAGACAAGGAGAACAAAAAAGGTGAGTCTTAAAATTAATCTGCAGAAAACGAAAGTAATGTACAGCAACCTCGGAAGACAGCAGCGCTTCGAAATAGGTAATAGTGCACTTCAACTTGTAAAAGACTATGTCTACTTAGGGAAGGTATTAACCGTAAGGCTGAACCACGAGATGAAAGTAACTAGAATAACAAGAATGGGGTGGAGCACATTCGGCAAGCACTCTCAAATCTTAACAGGTATTTTGCCACTATCCCTCAAGAGGAAGGTATATAACAGCTGTATCTTGCCGGTACTTAGCTACGGAGCAGAAACCTGAAGACTTACGAAGATGGTTCAGCTTAAATTGAGGACGACGCAGCGATCAATGGAAAGAAAAATGGTCGGTGTAACCTTAAGAGACAAGAAGAGAGCAGAGTGGATTAGGGAACAAACGGGGGATAAGGATATCTTAGTTGAAATCAAAAAAGAGTAGATGGACATTGGTCGGGCATGTAGCACGTAAACAGGATAACCGCTGGTCATTAAGGGTAACTAACTGGATTCCCAGAGATGTCAAGCGGTTTAAGGGGTGACAGAAGGTTAGGTGAGCAGATGAGATTAGGAAGTTTGCGGGTATGAATTGGCAGCAGCAAGCACAGGACCGAGTTAACTGGTGGAACGTGGGAGAGGCTGTTGTCCTGCAGTGGACGTAGTCGGGATGATGATGAATATGATGATGATGATGATGAACTGGATTCCCAGAGATGTCAAGCGGGTTGGGGGAGACAGAAGGTTCAGTGGGCAGATGAGATTAAGAAGTTTGCGGGTATAAATTGGCAGCAGCAAGCACTGGACCGAGTTAACTGTCGGAACATGGGAGAGGCCTTTGTCCTGCAGTGGACGTAGTCAGGCTGACGATGATGATGTACTCTACTATTCGAGAACAACACGCTGTCCCGGTACCTAAACAGCAAGACCTTACAACTACTTCGTTGAAGTGTTTAGAAAAAGGGGTAAATCGTTTAAAGTACTCTGTACTCTACTGTGGGAGAGCTTAAGTTGTGTGTTTAGAAAAAGTGTTTAATGATTTAGAGTACATCGTACTCTACTATGGGAAGGTATACTGCCGTCCCGATTACCTAGCGCTGTTGTAGAACGTAGGTCGTGAAGTTGTTGCGTGGATTCCATACGCTAGTTCTATTTTAAACACACATTAAAAACGCATGCCATTTGTCTATGGTCTCTGCATGCACCCTCATAAAATTCAACGGGCGCTTCGGCTTATTTCTTTAGCATGAAGTGTCTAGTCAATTATTCAACTTGGTTTTTTTGTAATAATTCAAGAGTATCTGGAATGCTGCATATGACTTTCATTTGCCACTCAGTATTGTTTCAGCCAGAAAATAAATACATATATTATGTGCCTATAAAGCGCTGCCAGGTGCGCTTTGTGAATGCTATCGAAAGTAAACTGTTTGAAACTGAGACACTGAAATTCCGAACTGTGTTTGGGGACAGTCTTTTTTTTTTTTGGCAATGAAGGGGAAAAAATGGCAGCATATCCACGGGGTGAATGATGGAGAGGGGGGCGAAGCATCCATCCGTCTATTCGTTCTTGCTTCCGTCCGTCCATGCGTCTGTCTGTGTGACTGTCCGTGCGTCCGCACGTCCATCCGTGCGTCCGTCATTGCGTTCGTCCATGCATCCGCCCCTGCGTCCGTCCATGCATCTGCCTGTGTGTCCGTTCGTCCATCTAGTCAACACTCCAAGTACCACCATCTCGCATCTTTCCATCATATATTCCGCATATAGAAGCACCGCCATCCAGCGGACATTCCAAGGACTAAATGAGAGGTGGCACACGCACACTTTCTTACGGCTTGCGCTTCGTGTCTTTTTCCCACCTTTAACCACCTCGAGTTCATGGTATATGAAGGGGAAGGGTTCACTGTATTCATGGCGCTACGGCCCAAAGCTCGCTAAACCTTTATAAAACCAAGCAGGTTACGCCCAGCGAGTATAACATAGCAACCCTTTCTTGTGAGATAGTGCTCAATATACATGCCAATGGCTGCTAATGGGGAATGAGAGACCAGAGAATTCGGCTTCTAGTGAATGCACCCGCTGCGAATTTTTTATTGTTCAACAACGCACACGAGAAATCTCCCACCGGCACCTTCTTGCCGGTCAAAGCGTAAGACATGTTACGTACTATGACGAGGGACGAACGGGTGCCGCTTCAAGGAGCTTCGGCCCTAAAAAGCGGGAGCGGAGCACATGCTTGTACTCATACGCGAAACGGTCCGGTTTGGCAGGCGTCTCGCACCGCTATGCAAGGTGATGGCTTCGCGTAATCAGCGCTTCATTTTGAAGTAACGCCACTCAGTGTATCAGGCACGGGAAAGAGGCGGGTGAAAAGGCAAAGTGACAAGGAGAAAAGTCAAGGAAATGCCAATATATCGATGCTTGGGTGCTTTGGGTGTTTAAATGACTATCAAGGAAATATATTCCATGCATGAAAAAGTTGGCCCTGTATCTGCATGTCTCACTGCAAAAGTCGTCGAATAGTTTTCCGTCTGGAGAAAGTGAATATAAACATTTATTTGATGCTCTGCGTGAGAAAATTGGTGAATGGGATTCTGGAAGCGCTTGCCTCGATGTGGGCAGCGAGTAGGTGCCACTACCGTATCGTTTGAGAAAAGCGCAAGAAACACCCGCCTTTTCGCGCACAGCGTTGCATTGTCAGCTTAGCGTAATAAACGCTAACTTCCTTATATTTAATTATATATGATCTTAACAGCACGGAGAAACACGCCACAGCATACTGACGTGTTGATGTTCTGCCTCAGATATGTGCGACGTTTGCTTTTTAATCGATTTGATTTGATTGAGCAGCAATCACAGGACCTAGTTGAATGACGGAACATGGGATTGGCCTTTGCCATGCAGTGGGCGTAGTCAGGCTAACAATATATATATATATATATATATATATATATATATATATATATATATATATATATATATATATATATATATATATATATATATATATATATATATATATAGAAAGAGAGAGAGAGAGGAGAGAGAGAGAAGAGGCAACGAGGCACAACTTACCGGTTGCCTTAATTTTATTTCCAATGGTTTCAACCGGTGGACCAGTCTTCGCCAGGGTTTGCGAACAAGTGTGGCGCTACGCATATTCACTCACGGGTATTTTAGGCGCGTGCGGCCCGTCTTCCGGCAGCCGCGTGCCTATAAATAGCTCGTCTCCCAGTTTTCCCTTCATACGAGCTTATTCGTGCCACGTGTCCCAAGCGGATCCCCGTTCTCCTTGCTTTTGCCCAGGGGGCATCATAAACGCGTAGCGCCGGCTTCGCCTTTGCGAGTCAATTTTAGGGAAGCTCTCGGGACCTTGCGCTTAGGTGCCAATCTTGAGTGACACTTTTTTCGTACGGAGAAAGGAAGGGCAGCCCATGATCGGGTTTGAATGGGGAAGCGCCGTTCCCCTCGTATCCCATCGCGTATTCAAACCCCTGCGGGAAGGCTTGCGAGGCAGACGAGGGATGCATTTTGAGCTCACCCGTTTGTCGGTACGTTGTTTCGTTCGCACGAGCCTGGCTTCCCCTATGAGTCTAAGGGAGAAAAGAGAATGTGGAATGGCCTTCAGACGACCCTTTTAGAGAAAGGTCGCTTGCGAGATCCCCTTTTCCGGGCGGAGGGCATCGTACTGCAGTGTCGTGTTGGTGAACGTTTTCCTTCATTTTCTTATTCCTTTTTATCTATCTATCTATCTATCTATCTATCTATCTATCTATCTATCTATCTATCTATCTATCTATCTATCTATCTATCTATCTATCTATCTATCTGTCTGTCTGTCTGTCTGTCTGTCTGTCTGTCTGTCTCTCTGTCTGTCTGTCTGTCTGTCTATCTATCTATCTATCTATCTATCTATCTATCTATCTATCTATCTATCTATCTATCTATCTATCTATCTATCTATCTATCTATCTATCTGTCTGTCTGTCTGTCTGTCTGTCTGTCTGTCTGTCTGTCTGTCTGTCTGTCTGTCTGTCTGTCTGTCTGTCTGTCTGTCTGTCTAAGCTTTGATTTTCACATAAAAATGGCAGCATATCCACGGAGTGAATGATGGGGAGTGGGGCGAAGCATTCGTCCGTCCATTCGTTCTTGCTTCCGTCCGTTCCTGCGTACGTCTGTGTAACCGTCCATGCGTCCATCCACCCGTCCATGCGTGCGTCTGTTCGTGCGTCCGTCCCTGCGTTCGTACATGCACCGGCGCCTGCGCCCGTTCATGCGTCTATCCATGCATCTGTCTGTGTGTCCGTTCGTCCATCTATTCAGCACTCAAAGTACCACCATCTCGCATCTTTTCATCATGTATACTCCATATAGAAGCACCGCCATCCAGCGAACATTTCAAGGACTAAACGGGAGGTGGCACATGCACCCTTTCTTATGGCTTGCGCTTCGGGTTTACTTCCCACCTTTAACCACCTCGAGTTCATGGTATATGCCCCGCCACGGTGGTCTAGTGGCTAAGGTCAGAGTCCTTCAATTTTAGTGGTCACGAAACTGCTCCGTAACTCAATGGGAGAGCTTCATATGATGCGTTGGGTGGCCGTGCGGTGGCGCCACCATCTCACTGAGGGGATTCGTCGGGCTGGTCGGGCGGCGTTGCGCTGGCTCGAACGACGCTGCGATTTGTTTGCTTTGTGTGGGAAACGTGCATATCGTGCTGTTGTGATGCGGCGTTAGTGCAGCGACGACGCCGAACACGTGTTGTGTCCCGGGATGTCGTTCCGTGTACAAGGGCAGAACAGAAAAAGTTTCTTTGTTCTGTTTACCCAGCGACGGCGTGCTGCGCGAGAAATGGAAGCGCTTAATTCCAAGGCAAGAAACGGGTGACTTTTGCTTCGACTCTAAGTATGTGAGAGTGTGCGAGAAGCATTTCGATGACAGCGACATCATCCGCGCAGATGAATTTGTGGTGAATGGCGAAAAAGTGTCACTTCCGCGCGACAAGCCCCTTCTGAAGCCTTGTGCCATTCCAAGGAAGTTTGACGGCTTGCCAGCGTATTTGACGAAGCCGAAGCAGCGGTCACGGACCCTGACAAGAAGGTCCCCAGCGAAGCGACGTCGTGAGTCGTCCTCATGTGCCCGTAAAACAGAAGTTCACGCCAAACCAGGCACATCGGGTGCCGCGTCGTGTGATGAAGGTGAGTTTACGTCCAATGTTGTTTTAACTTTCTTGCCCGTGCAGTGATTATATCGGTAAAATTTCGAAGGAGTGTGTGAGCTGAAAATGCGCTATTTGAAACGATTTTTAAATTGTTTTGCAGATCTTGCACTGCCCACAGATCTTGTCGGCGAGGGGCCAACGCGCACTTCGGACTCGGCGTGCCAGACAGATGAATTTACCAGCCCTCTCGCCGAGGTTAAACTGCTGAAGTGCCAACTTCGGGCAACGAAACAACAGCTGATTTTGTGTCACACGAAATTGGCCAAGATGAGAGTGCAAGCGAGCAAGCACAAAAAACTTGAAGAAAGCCTTCAAAAAATGTCAACCCGCACGAAGTTGATTTTTGATCAGGGCGTGATGAAAGCGAATGAAGGCGAAAGACACCAGAAAAACCTTTCTGGTGTCTTTGTGCTTTCACTTTAATATTTCCACGAACTATCGCTCAGGATTCAGATTTGGGTGCACGTTAAAGAACCCCAGGTGGTCAAAATTTTCGGAGCCCTCCACTACGGCGTCTTTCATAATCAAATGGTGGTTTTGGGACGTTAAACCCCACAAATCATCATCGCTCAGGATTCGTTTTTTGTTTTGTAACCATGCGTGGCCGCTTCCGGTTTTTTAACTGGTGTTTCAACTGAAGCGCCCGTTTGCTCTTTTTTTTCTGTACGTCGCGTCGGGCAATATTGTTGATATGGAAAGGCTGTCACCTTGTCACTAACTTGATTTCTTGTTTGCTCGAAACTATTCTCGGCCCTATTTTCATGGATCGAAAATTAATGACGTCCCGAGAGCAACTCATGCATAGCAAATGCCGCGTGACTCACTTTATCGATGTCTTCTGTGCAGGCCACGCTGCGGACTGCTTCTTTGACGTTTGCGTTTCCTTCTAGTCTTTTGCAGAGCATGAGTTCGCTTTAATAAACTTCATTCAGTAGAACTTTACGTTTGTTTTTGTTGCGTGGCAATATTCTGTTTCGTCCGTGTGCTACACATCAAAGCGCAAACAATAAACTTTTGTACGCTGCACCACGCTCTTTTGTCTCCCTTCATAATATTAAATTTATTTTTGTAGCATGTGATAAAAGTTTGCGCTTCCTTTTTTGCAAGGATTGAAAAGCAGGTTCGCGCAAAGACACACAGTGCAACATACATCATTTCGTGTTTTGATCCTTTCCCTTTATGCAGCGCTTTTAAATGTTACTGTACCACCTCATCGAAAAGAGAATATTACTGGGGTATCTGGGTGCTCAGCGCATTCCAGAGCACTCAACAGATTCATTAAAAGCCTACTCTGAAGGACGCGTACCTGCTTCTTTTCAGGTTTTTTTTTTTTGCGTTGCATTATTGATAGGCCCGCAGCAGTCCGCAGCTACGGAGCTACCGTATGTATTGTGGTTACAAAGTTTTTTTGAAGGAAACAAACAAAAGATATTTTAAAATCGGTAAACACGGCGCAGCGCTTGCGCCCAAAGACGCGAAAGCAGTTGCCGTTCGTGGCCGAGGTCTGCGGCGATTTATTCGAAAAAATAAAACCCCATTGGAGGCAGGTGGTGTACACAATAATTGGGCGATTCATCGCTAACAACTACGAAAAGAAGAAAAGAAACCCAACGCGCAGAGACCAGAAGCAGCGAGCGTTTTCATGCCAAAAGCTGGCAAATATGCCGCACGCGCGGCGGCTGGATCCCCTCAGTGCGACGGTGGCGCCAGTAGTGGCGCCCGCGGACCCTATATGAAACTAGCGCCGAAGTTTCGTGACCAGTAAAGCATTGAAGGACTCTGCTAAGGTACTCGGCTGCTGACCCGCAGGTCGCGGGATCAAATCCCGGCTGCGGCGGCTGCATTTCCGATGGAGGTGGAAATGTTGTAGGCCCATGTACTCATATCTGGGTGCACGTTAAGAACCCCAGGCGGTCAAAATTTCCGGAGCCCTCCACTACGGCGTCTCTCATGATCATATGGTGGTTTTGGGACGTTAAATCCCACAAATCAATCAGTTCATAGTATATACTAGTTCACTGTATTCATGGCTATGCGGCCCAACACTCGCTAAACCTTTCTAAAACCAAGGAGGTTACACCCAGCGAGTATAACGTAGTAACCCTTTCTTGTCAGATCGTGCTCAATGTACATGCCAATTGCTGCTAATGGGGATCGCAGCGTGCGCGTTACCTAAAGGCCGAATGCTCCTGTCTCTCATTCCCCCTTAGCAGCCATTAGCATGTCATTGAGCACTATCTTTTATTGTTCAACAACGCACAGAAGAAATCTCTCACCGGAACCACCTTGGAGGTCAAAATCGTAAGGACCGCTATTTCGGGTATGTGCTTCTGGTGGTTACGTATTACGAGGGACGCACAAGCCACGCCATAAGGAGCTTCGCCCCTAAAAACAGCGCCAATAACGAGGGACAAGAAAAGAAGGAGACAGACAGCGGCACTGACTAACAACAATATTTATTTGTTAGAACCGCAGAAGATATACTTGGGCAGTATCTGAGAAAAAAAGAGAAAAATACAAAACAAAGAAAACAGAATTCACCTAACAACCGCGTAATCATCGTCATAACGCACCATGAACAACACGTGTGCTAACGTTCTCAAGAAAATCTATTTCATTTTGTGATAGCGCAATCGAAGGCCTGCTGACACATGCACTACCCAGCCTTTGTATTTCTGCAGCCTCATAAATTTCACGTATCATCTGGTCCCGATGACGCCTAATGACGGTACAATGCTGAAAATCGGGGACACAACCGCAGTCTCGGCAATGAATGCCGAGGTGGCCCGAAACTCTAGAGTAGACGTTGTGAGGGTGCTCTTTCAGCCGCTAATTTAAACACCTGCCTGTTTGGCCGATGTACCACTTGCCGCAAGACGGGGGTAGACAGTACACCACCCCTTCGATGCATGGAACGTACTTCTTCCGATGCTTGATTTTGCAGCCTCGCTCTCCCCTGGAACCAGGATTTATGGCCCTGCACAACGTATCCAGCTTTTCTGGAGCAGAAAAAACCAGGTCTACGTCGCACCTGCTGGCCACTTTTTTTGAGGTTGTGGGTGACGCCGTGGATATAGGGAATAACGATGAAGTTTCGTTTCTCCCGTCCCTTATCCTTTGTACGGGTTCGAGCATTAGGCTCTGGGCTCATTCTGATTTCTCGAAGTAGACACTCAGCAACGGCGGTCGAAACGTACATCGGGAAACCAGCTTGAGTAAGGCGTTTATCTTTGATTCTGTTATCTCAATCGTTGCTCTTTCATTAATGATAAGCCCCTCGGGACAAAAGCAGTTCCATCTTAAGCTGTACTGGGCGCACGCCGTTCTTGACTCTACCATCTTTTTCTCACAGTGCAAGTCGCTTCTTCATGAAGGAACACCGATCAATAACGAGTCCGCACATTCTTGGTCCTGTTGCCTCCGGCTCTAACGTACCATGGTTAGCTGGCGGTATCTAATATGTCCCGGTTCAGGTGATCGTGCATTTCGTGTGGCATCCGTAAGAAAAAGAAAAGCACTCGCCAATACCGCTCCACTTTCGTGTGCTGTTCCGAGGGACCTCTAGTTTCTTTATTATTCGTAAGGGGAATTCATCGCTTGTACTTGAGGTCCTTGACAAGGGCTGCTGCAGATAATGTCAGAGCAACTCCTTTTGATTTTGTGTTTCGAAGAAGCGCGTGACTTCAGGTCGAGGGAGTGCGATCTCATGAAGCGGACGCAGGAAGGCCGGCTATACATAAAAGTAAGTTTCTTTGGGTCCGATGGTTTTAAGAAGAGTTGGTAAACGGGCATGTTGGTATGAATTCGTTTTGACAACTTCGCAGAGCAGATAAACGGACAAAGAAAGAAGGCATACCAGACAAGTGCGGACTGCAGCTTAGATTTGATCGTAGAAGAAATGTATAAAATAAAATACGAGGGGAAAGAGGGTTACAAGCAGAAGGGTCAACAGAAACTCCCCCAGTAACCTTCTTTCCCATCGTGCCTTTTTAAAAGCAATTCTTCTCCACTAAACACAAGTTTCAGTCTGTGCTTGCGTGTGTACCTTCTGACCTTGTCCCTGTTGTTCGACCTGGCAAGTTTTCGTAGTACATTAATAAGAAATAACAAGTACAGGCGCACGTACAACAACGAATTCTCATCCAACGTGTAGGTTGAGGATAATAATATCTCGAGCTTTCGGTGGAAGAACTACGATATGATTACGAGGAACGCCGTGTGGGAGGGTTCTGGAGATTATAACCGTCTCTTTTTTATTGTCCCATGACATCCCACAGCGCGCTGGCCTGTGCCATTTAACCTCCATCGAAAAGCGACTGCCGCGACCGTGATCGAACCAGCGACCTTCGGATCAGCAGCCGAGAACCGCAAACGCTATTCACCGCCGTGGTGGACCTTTTGAATGGGGAGAGTAGCTGGTGGGTCGGTTTAAAAGTGGTCAAGTAGCAGTATTGGGGGGTGCTTTCACGTGCGTGTGTAATATATATATATAACTTTGTGTGTGTGTGTGTGTGTTGGGGAGGGGGGCTAAACGTGAGATTTAGTGCAAAGTAACATGTTCTCACTTTCGTCTTAGGCAGTGTTAGAGCCTTCGTAGATGCCCAAGTTTCAATATTAACTATTTCATTATTATTAACCAATGGCCGGTCCCACGTAACGGTGTCAACTTGTCGAGCTTAAACCAAATTGTCCCTACCGATGTTTCAGATCCTAGGAGATGGTAGCGCTTAAACACTAGCTGCGTTTTTCATCTTGTGTCAATGGAAAAATCGAGAAGAAAGAAAAAAGTACACGGTTTGAATCCTAAAAGCGCTCCGTGCAACCCTTTCCGAGTTCCGTTGGGAACGAAAATGTCATCAATCAACGGCGTTTGCAGTTGTGTAACGGATGCGTTTTTCGTGCCAAAAGTTCGAAAGCGTCCACTCGTGCGCATGCTTGCACGCTTCGCAAAAGTTTGCTCGGGCATTGGGAGTCCTACGTCCGTGGCTTGGGAGTCCCAGGTCCGTGGCTTGGGAGTCCAATGTCTTGGGAGTCCCAGTTTAGAAAAGTAAATGTTGTTTTCCTGCGATTGGTTGCAAAGAGATATCGAAAACCAAAACGTGAAAGCTCTGTGGGACAAACTACAAAAATAAAAGCTTTTCATTTGTAAGTGCGTTTTCCCATCGAAGGAAGACCGATTATCCTCCTGCGTACAAATGAAATCTTTCTCTGCTTGCGATTTCTATATATAGGACGACCTGGGATGACGTGGCGTCTCCTCTGCGTCTTTATTGAATCTAAATAAGGTTTTGTCATCATCATTATCATCATAATCATCATCATCTATCTCTCCCATGGGTCAGCACACTTCGCTAGTGATGCGCAGCTGCATCA